ACCTCTACCTATGATGAAGTTCTGTTCACTCTCAGTGCGCTTCCTAAGGATATTGCAATGGAAGTGGTGATTATGGGTTGTTGGAGCACCTGGATGATCAGAAATGATAAAATCTTTAGAAAGGCACCGATGAGTTATGAATCCTGGAAGCATTATCTCAGAGAAGGCATGGAAATGACTAGACTTAGAGCAAAGCAAAAGAAAGTTGATTTGATAACCAGTTGGATAGAGCATAATCTCTAATTTCCATATGTTAGATATGTTTTCTAAAATGGGTGTGGGTTGATTTTCTGTATGTTGGCTCCCTAGCCTTTGTAATGGTACTTTACTTTTTATTAATATAGAAAATACCGTAGAATGATTGTTCTACGGTTTCGGCTCAAAAAAAATTGGGGTAATGCCAGCCGAAGTAACAACATTCTTTACAGCCGAAGAATCAGGTCCAGGTACCTCCTACTCGATACCTTCCCGTCATTCTTTTTCACTTCCGGGTCTATAGGTTTTGCGGGGCTTTCAACTGTCTCATCCAAATCATTGTCCTCAAAACACATGCACCGTTAGACTTTCCCTTTCTGGGCACTAAACCTCTAGCACCATCACGGCCTCTGCCACGGTATCTACCCCGGAGGAAGGAGGATCTACCCCCACGGTCATTCTCTTGGGTCATCTGCACTGTTCCTTCTCTTTGCCACTAGAAAATTGCCCCACTGCATGACCCGGAGCCCACAAACCGCACAGAAAAAAACCCGATCTTCTCATACTTGACCTCCAGGAAAATTCTTTCTCCCGCTAAATTCAATGCTGCCCAGCGGATTAAGGGTGTGGTCACGTCAATACTAGCACAGACTCGAACATAGTTTCCTTCGAAACATCATCCAGGGTTTAACTCCACACTCCTGATGATCCCTATCATCCTGGCCGATTGATCTACAATCGACTCCTTCCGGTAAAGGTCCGGTATCTTATGTATTTGTGCCCATACAGACACCCTCTCGAGTTTGACAAATTCCGGAGCTCGCTTTCCGTCAAACTCCTCAATCAAGACCAGTAGGCCATGGATGATCCAAAGGTCCCGGTGCATCACAGATCACACGCTTCCAATCGCCCAGGCAGAAAACCTGTATGACCTACAGATTATCGTCAACTTCTCTATCTCCCGCACATGAGGATTATCGTCAACTTCTCTATCTCCCGCACATGAGCTATATTCTCCACAAACTTCAGCGTTTCCTTTAGAGGTGCGCTGCTAAAGGTCTTGGTGGTGTTGACCTTGGCTACAGCAAGCCACCGGCCTCGTTCCTATCCAGTACAACTTTCATTCCAGTGGAGAAGCCTAGTAGCTCCTGGGCCATTTCTAGTGAGCAGAGCTAGCAAGCACGGAAGTGCGATTCTACCCTTTCCAATCATTTTATTATCATCTCCACGCAAAAAGAACATTTTATTACCATCACCCATGAATCATTTTATTATTCCCTCTGTCCCACAATATAAGATGTTTTCGCAAGCTAAATATGCTTGCGAAAGCGTGTTATATTGTGGGACGGAGGGAGTAGCGCCGAGATGCAGGCAGACATAACAATCTTTTCACCCTCCACTTTCAAAAGATAAAATGTATATAGCCTCCATTTAGCAGCTGCACGCACTTGCTGCTACCCAAAACCTAATCAATCCGCAACGAACAAGAGATTCTACTTGTATACCACAACAAGCAGGCAAATATCAAACAGGGCAGATGGCCCAAACATGCATCCAACAACATAGAGTATCTTATTCGCAAAAAAAAAAAACATAGAGTATCTTCATCACAAAAAAAAACGACATAGAGCATCTGCTTCCCTCCTCAACCAGCACAAACTAGTAAAACACCAATGAAATGCAGCAGCGACGGCGCCCTTATCGCTGGCGTAGATGCCATCCAACGACTTTGGTATCCTTGTCCTTCACATGGGAATTTCTGTTCAAGTAACAAGGGAAACAAAACAAGGGTAAGTGTGGATGAAACTGTGCATCAGAACAATCGACACAACTAACAACATAAGTACCCAATACTCAATACGACGATAACCAAAAGTCAATACAATCTTATTTTGCAGAGGAGAAGTCAATACAATTGATCTATTAGGAACAGAAAATTCCTTCGTATTCCAAACTGGCGCATTTTCCAGCTGCAGTTTTGTATTCCAGCGAATCAAACAACTGGTCACACGCCAAACGAGTCTCAAGTCACACTGATATTTGTTAAACTGTTGTGATGTTAAAGGATGGATGATAAATTTGTCATATATAGGACCTAATAATCTTCATTACGGTCATGACTCACGATATGGATGCATACAAAAACATGTACTATAAGCCCAAGTATGCTGGTGAGAAATATAAGATCAGCAATTGAAATTCAAGTAAATAATTGCAAGCTTCAACATGCAGACATACTAAAAATACAACATATCCTCAAAAAAATAATCTAAAAAAAATACAACAAGCAGGAACTATAAGCATCATCATATAACTAAGGCATGTGATAACAACCATCAAGACGAGAGAACGTACTTTGAGCCAATAGAAAGCTTTACCTATTTCAAACTGTCGGGGATGACAGCAACGATGGCGGGAAGTTGGTATATATCTGTGCATCTATGCCCCATTGCTTCAACGAGCACATCCTTTCAAGTTGCATCGTCTTGATGTCCAGTGAGAGGCAGTCGCAATATGCCGGCTCCAATGACCGGTTGTCAGCATGCTTTAACAGGAGCAAGTATGCACCCGTTGCACCGAGGATGCAATACCAGTACCCATGACGCAGCGACACTGTCTGCTTCAGCTTCCACTGGTTGTCTGCTTCCCTGATGGTATAGTGGAGGTAATATACGCCACCTACAAATGCAAGCGCGAACATCCCAAGCCTGCCTTCCCCTGCCTCCACGATGGCCGTGTCTAGCCCAGCACCTCCGGCTGTGCATGGAATGTCGACAAGGGAGAAGCCCATGGTCCGGGCGTCGAGCACGAGCCACATTCCCTGGCAACTCGTTTCCCAGTAGAAGGAGCCATAGGCGTAGTGGCGCACGCCCAAGCAAGGCCCCCATGAAAGCTCAATGTCGACGGCGAACAGATCGCTCCAGCTCTGGGACGCGACGACCCGCCATTGCCCGGAGCTGGACGAGAAGACGAAGGCGACCATGTTAGCCTCGCAGCGCGCTGTCCACATCACTCGGAATGACGTGTCTGGCGCCTCCGCCGCCTCCTCGTCGCTGGGGGGAGCGAGGAAGGGCCCGTATGCCTTGCAGACCGGGTTCGCCTCCGCCAGGTCTTGAGGGACCGGGGGGAGCAGGAGGTATCGCTGGTGCAGGGGGTCGCACACGACGACCTCCGTGAACTCCGCGTCCTTGTTGCCCTCGGGAGCCCGGTCGAGGAGGACGCGGCCGTCGCGGGCGTCCTTCATGACCCAGCGGTTGGGGGCGGGCAGGAAGGAGAAGGAGAAGTCCTTGCCGGGGGCGTTTGCGAGGGCTCTCCCGGCGGGCGCGGAGGGGTGGGGCGGGAGGGCGGGGTGGAAGCCGGCGCCGTCGACGATGCCGAGGAGCGGAGGGGCGTGGAGCCTGCGGAATTCGCGGGTGCAGGCGCGGCGGTCGGTGGCGGCTTGGCGGAAGGAGGCGCAGGTGGCGGCGACGCGGGCGAGGTCCTCAGGGGTGGGCAGGCGGATGAAGAACTCCGGCAGGAGGTCGTTGATGATCGCCGGCATCGGCATGTTCCGGGCGGTATGTGCACGTACGTGGCTGGTGGAGTGGAGTGGAGTGGGGTGGGGAGTTGAGCGGCGGCGTATGCGAGAAAGCAACAGATGGCGGCCGAGAAGAGAGGGATCCTGTTTGGTTTGCTTTTGAGTTTTGAAGGAAGGTTCACACTGAGAAAGCACCTACGCTGCCTCTATATATAGTGTACGATTCCATGTTAATGTTAGGCAAGATATTAATTTTATTAAATATTAATATTATGCAAGATATACATTGTATATTAATATTTTGGTAGGATATGATTATTTGATTAATGAGTACGTTGGAATTGTGACTGGCCAGCTGCTTGGAGCATCTCCACCGGTTCCCTCAAAATCCTCCAAGGCCCCGCTTGGATTGGGTGTAAATTTTTACACTCACATTTATTTTACAGATGTAAATTCCCGATCACAGCTAATTTTCCGCCTGGAAACAAAACAACCAGTCCAGGCATGTGTCATAAACCAGCCGGATATGATCGGAAATGGGAATCCAGGCGGGGCCCGAGTGTGTTTAGGGGCTCTCCAAATAATTTTTTAGGGTTTCAGAGATGTGTTGCTCTAGAAGGCAGGCAGTGTGGTATCGGTGGAGGTGCTGCAATTGCCGATGGAAGGGGAGGCTGCCTGGCCGCCGACGATGCAGCGTCGTGGTCGCAACTAGCTTTAGCCGGTTGGCTCCCTCCACGGTGGATGGGATTATAGGGATAGCTGCATCTCCCCATCTATATGCCGGGGTATGGGGTGTTTTTAAGGAGAGTTCGTCCAATCAAACATTGGATGGAAATATTTGAACTACAGTTTGAGGAGTCGTGTGCCCCATATTAGTTGCCATCAAGTCCCTTCGCTGTCGATCGACCTCCTGTGTCCGGTGATCTGGTAGCACAGCCCACGCAAGAAAAGAAGAAACACACAACCGGTAGCAAAACCAAAACCCATGCAAGATCCAGGAAAGCACGACTTGAGAGAAACAACTGCGGCAATGAGTAATGGCATCACAATCATGTCCAACGGCAGCAGTTTCGGCAAACATTTACACACAGTTCCGACCACCGCAATATTCGCGATCTCACAAGTCAGCACAGCCATTTGAACGAAATCCAGGTCCGCTGGCAAGAGAACCCTAAAAACACCAGGCACACGCCAGTGGCATCGTTCCGGGGTTCCCTTCAACAGTCTAAACTCGGCCTCTCTCGAAACAAATAGTTCCCGATATACACAGTGATGGGAGAAATGGTCTTCACAAGAATGGCGGCATCCTCTGGGGAGGTACAGGCTGGTAAACATTGTCCGGGTGGCTCTGCGGTATCCGCTCCCCGGGAGCAGGTCTTCGAGTGAAACCTCCATGTGTATGGTTCTGCATCGGATTGAACGTGCTCCACCAGTGAGGCTCGCCGTCGACAGGGACCCACGGGAATGGCCCAAAGCCCTCCCGGCCCCACGCATATGGTCGATCGACGGGTGGTCTAGAGACACCTTCACCATCAGAGGGAAGGCTCCTGTTCACAGCTGCGGGTGGAGCAAATCCATGGGGCACTCCAACCTCAGCCGACGACGCTGCTGCTGCTGCAATGAAAGATGTGATTGTCAAAGCCCTCGGCCTGACCCTCCTAGCTGTAGGAGGGAAAGGACTGCCCTGCATTGAGGCGTGCATCGAATGTTGATACATATGGCCCCTCGCACCATGACCATGGCCTCTAGTCTCGCCCATAACAGCTGGAACTGACCCTAATGGTGCCACCAGATTGCTTCCGTTGCGAGGTGTGGGCCTGCAGTATTTGGACATTATAACTTTGTAAGAGCTAAGCAAATAGGTGGTTTACCATAGTAAGAGATAGGCATGACCTGCAGAACCTATCTAGATTTATTTAGTTTTCCAAACAGCCCACATAAACCATAGATCAGACAGAAAAAAAAATCATGTTCTAAAGATTTTGTAAAAGAACTTTTTCACAGGGATTTAGACCATCCAGGCTATCAGACCCCACCTATGTGGTGACTGGTGAAGCATCTACAGTTTTGAAGTTCTGAACAGGGGTTTATCTAGTCTAGAAAGTAAAATTTCACAGTTAGATGGTATTCATGAATTGAGCATACCTGTGGACTAGGGGATGGTGATGTACATATGGTCTTGATCTTTGTTGGCTGCTGGTTTCATATCTGGGAAGTCCTATACCAAATGGAGCTACAGAATGATCCGGGATGCCCGATACAGGAAGATTAGTCAAATATCTGTGCTCGCTATCAAGAATTCTTGGCTCAGTTGCATGGAAAGCTGCTTGGGTATTGCCCAAATCAGGAGCTGCATGGCCTTCCAAGCTAGTTGGATGGCGATGAAATGAAGCGCCTTCAGCACCAGAATTTGAACCAAGAGGCACATGCACGGGATGGAGAAAACCACGCAGTGAAAGATAAGGACAAACAAGTGAACTGCTTGCAGCACTCGAATGGTCTGCGACTGTATGATCTTCATAAAATTAAAAAGAAATCAATAAACGACATAGAAATTTCGTTAGTTAAAAATCTGGGTCAACATGCTTACAAGACGGTGGCTCCGCTTCACCCTCCCTGAAAAGAAGTAAAGGATAAATTCAGAACTTGAAGATTTGAGATATAAAATTCTTTGAAGAACCTGATAAAGTGTACAGTATCAACATAGGCGAACAAGCTAAGGTTTTGCAATACAGAAGTTCCAGTATTAATAACTGACAGTGACCGGCAACCAAGGAAAGGGCAATGCACGACATGGACAAAGCATATTAGGAATACAAATCTAACCATTCATCAAGAAATTGTGCTGGGTGACAACTGCAAATAGTATACCAAATCAACGGCAAACATTATACCAAATCATGCATGACAGCACTCAATGTCATATTAGGAACCATAAAATGGCTTCTCTTTAGGTAATAGGTTGTGGAAAGATAGGTTCCATTCAACTTACGGTTTAGCATTCACATTACATTAATGCTTTGAGACATAAGGTTTAAGAGAGGCGACCAAGGAGGCAGCATCTCGTACAATTTGAAAACCCAATTTCAACATACCCATCGATATGGCATAAGACCACGGCATATTCTCTTATGAAATTAAGTAAAAGCCCATTTTCTTTTTTGCTTTTAGATCATTAACCACATGCTCCAAAAACCATATCTATTGAGATGTGAGGAGACATCCTTACTCGAAAACGGATGCTAGTTGTGTGAATCCACTAAAAGGGCACCACTGAAATCCAAATGGCTGCAAGTCAATACAACAGATATATCAGAATATAAAATATGAGACATGTGAAATGATGTCAGATGCCGACGACATTCCAAAACTGAAAATGCCTTCTGTACCAGCAAAATGAATGCAAGCAGCACATAAAAACCGTAAGGCACGAGGTTCATATGATTATATGACACCTCGTGGAATGCATATGCTAGACAAACAAACAAATGTCACTATTTAAGAAGAAACTTGAACGACATAACACATTTTAATATTGTTTTGAACCCTTAGATGTGTATTTACTATCACAAGAGCACTTACAAGATCAGAAGCAATGTCATAGGTTTCACCAGTCACCCAGCCACCTATATCAATATCAGGAGATGGACGTTGTCCAGTTGCATAAAGCCAGCGGCCTTTCTCTATCTTCCGGCAATTAGGGCATTGCATTGCCCCTTTCGCATTGAATGCTGATCCAATGCAGTCTAGCAGAAAAAGGAGTTGTTTAGTTCAACTATATTTTTACGAATGCATGAAGATGCACCCAGAGGAAGTGTTACAGACACATACTCGGCAGCATTAAATCCAAACTAAAAGCTAACGAGTACTACGTAAATAATAGCAATACAAAATTGAACTAATTAGCATGTGGTATTCACAGATTGCGCTTGAACAAATATAAGCTGAAGATGGGCTTAATTCAAGATAGTCTCTTCATAGTATAAAAGGCAAACTTATTCACTAGCACAACTACATGATGTGTAGACGTGTAGCCATACTCATTGTTTGAAGATGATCAAGTCAATTCCAGAATAATCTGTCACTATTTCTTGCATGCATGATTTGCCTGAGTGATTACGTGATTGGTCATGGAACTTGAAAAGAAAAATGAGTAGTTCAATTATATATTTACAAATGCATGAAGATGCATGCAAAGGAAATGATATAGACACATACTCCGAAGCATTAAACATCCAAAGCAAAAGCTAAGAGCACTATATAATAGCAATACAAAATTGAACTAATCAGCATGTGATATTCACAGATTGTGCTTGAACAAATACAGGCTGAAGATGGGCCTAATTCAAGCTAGTATTTTCATCATGGTATAAAAGGAAAATTTATTCACTAGCAAAACCACATGATGTGTAGATGTGTAGCTTTAACTGTTGTTTGAAGATGCTCGAGTCGATTCCAGAATAGTGTGCCACTATTTCTTGCATGCATGATTTTTTCGAGAAAACGCAAAGGACCTCTGTGTTTCATTTCATCGAAAAGAAAGAGAGAACAAGCCTCCTAGGAGGTGAGTTTTACAATGCCATTGGCCGATCAGTGGGCATCCCAGGGTGGGCAGAACAACCCTAAGCCCCTAAGCCCCTGGGCTCCGGCGTTTGCCCAACAGCGGGCCTCATCTTTGATCCTATCTACTAGCAAATCGACCGAGGGTGTCGCATTGTCAAAGACGCACGCGTTCCTGTGTTTCCAGATCATCATGGAACGAGCAAGGTGATGGACCTGAGGGCCTTGCGATGCATCGTCGGCGTATGCTCGTTCGCTCGCAGCCACCATGCCATGACAGTGGGCTCCTGGTCTGGCGCCTGGATCAGCAAGCGCAGCCAAGACAGGATGGCATGCCATGTTTGGCGAGCGAAGGGGCAGGTAAGGAGCAGGTGTTGGATTGTTTCTGTAGTCTGGTCACATAGGAGGCACCTGGGGTGATGCTGCAGTCCGCGTCAAGCAAACCTTTCTCTGTCGAGCAAGCCAAGACAGGATTGCACGCATGATTTACCCGAGTGATTACGTGATTTGTCATGGAACTTGAAATGAAAAATGTCTAGTTTGGTTCCTAGACTAGTGCACATCATTAATTAATTCCCTAAATTCACTACTATTCCGTTTTCTTTTAATAGCCGGGTAAAATTAATGTGCATCGTAGGTCGTATTATCCAATACACTCATAGAGCATTCACCTACGCCATGCCAAGGTTAATACATCATAATTTGGAAGTTGAGTTTGCCGGTTCCCAAAACAAACAGCAGATACAATTTAACTAACAAAGAAACGGACAAATAACGGACCAAGCAGCGACAAAACCCTCAAAGAACACTTGTAATTCAGGCAACCACCACAGCACTTGTCTGCTTTACAGGGAGCAAGGTGGAACACCCTGATAAATGACGGTAACCGAAGCACCGCATCCAACCCGTGTACGCGACCAGGGATTATATAGCCCTTATGACGCATAGAATGCATGGATCAAATTGGAGCAACAAGCACCAAGAGGTCAGTGTCTTCAAAACTAGAAGCCTAAAACGATGTCGAAACATCTCATGTTATCACAAAAAATAAAATAGAAATTAGAAGCAAATGCCCACCATAAATAAATCTAAGTACCATCAACGAACACTGTTTGAATCGGAACCACCCTCAAATACATATGCTTGAAATAACCCTAGCTCATGCCGGTCTCACAGCTCCAACAGGGACACACAAACTCACCACGATTACTTTGACATGCAATTCCACTCCATCACCATCCAGATGTCCATACCTGCGAACTCCACGGTAGTACAATTCAACAACGCCGATCGCCCATTTTTACAGTCCACAGTCTAAAATCAAACCACCCAAACTTCTCTAGCACGTCGAATTACATGAACTAACCCGCGTCCATCTCTCGCGCACAGATCCGGTTGAAAACAGCACGGCCTAGCTAGCAGGGGCGGTGGGGCGGAGGAATCTGACCTAGGTGGAACTCGTGGCCGCATTGCAGCTTGGCGATGGACCTGCCCCCGGCGCGCCCAGTCACCGGATCCAGGCAGATGGAGCACGCCCCGCCCCCTGCCGCCTCCGCCGCGTGATCGGGCGGCGGCGATCTCTCCAGATCCATCGCCTCCTCCCCCCGGCGCCGGGGCTCCCCCTGCCTCTCTCGCGGGCGCGCTCGTGGGGGGGCGGCAGCTCGCACGGGAGAGGAGAGGAGAGAAAGAGAGGGGAGGGGAGGTGCGGTGCGGTGCTGTTCGTGAGGAGGGAGGAGAGAGAGAAATGAGGAGGGTGTGTCCGAGCGAACGGAAGGGGTTGGGTTGGAATTCGCTGAAATGAGAAAGATGGATAAGAATGCGCTGGACGAATTTGCATTTCGCCGTGTGTTGCTCGTGCGTGGCGATGCCGTTCGTGGACGTAGGCCGGGCGATGCACGTGATGATTTGGTTGGTTTTAGCAGCCATGTTATTTTTAGGCTTGCTATCGGTTTGCTTTTAGGTTTGTTGCTCGGTTTTTAACCCGCCCAAGTTACACGTGTTCTGAGTTCGCGAGAGCATATTCTTCTTCTTCTTTGTGAATAATAAAGAGCGTAATCTTTGTGTTGAGTATGAGGGTTGGGAAAAAATTGCTTTCCATTGTTTGTAAGATTTTCAATTGTGAGAAAAGGGGATTTTCGGTATTTGAAGGTATCGTCGCATTTGTGTTTTCGTAGTATCTCATAAACAACAAACTATCTTATAACTAGTGTCGGTCCATGAAACTAGGGCGCGACTTGCGCTCATAGAAAGAAGATGAGCAACGGAGGAACCATCTGGGAGGTGGAGAAAGAGAAGAAGAGGAACGTACGAAAGTAAGACAAGGAGAGATGACGTGGTGACATCCCGACTTGGCGAGAGTATCTATGACCAATGAGAGGTGGTTGGCGATGCAAGAGAAGGAGCGAGTGCGGACCTGCGGTGCTGATAACAACATGGAGGTGGAGTGGTGGCAAGAAACATAGGAGGCGGCGGGGAAGGAGAAACAAGTAGTCCATGCAAGGAAAGAAATGGGGAAAGGGTCCCCTCAATGCTAAAGTGCGGAGGCCGTGGTGCAGTTTTATCCTATAAAGGTTGATAGATATTTATGGTCTATAAAGTGGACATAGATAAATAAATGTAATAAACAGTCGCCAACCTCCTTATACACCTACAATGAAACTTCTAGAAAGTCACAAAATAACTTACTAAGAGCATCTCCAACAATTGCCTATTATAGGATGCTTTTTTTACTTTTGGAGGGTAAAAAAGTCTCCAATATCTGCTAAAAATAAAAGGTGGGCAAAAAAAATCGGGCATCCCGAAAACAGGGCACCTTCAGCTGAAAATTTGTGGCACAAAGGCATCCGGACAAAAACCCAACTGGTTGCGCTTAAGAGGCCAACTGCCTCATTTCTCGTCCCGCACGAAGCCCCAACCGCCTGACCCCTTCCCAACGCCGCCACCAGGGGTACGCCGCACGTCACGCCAGCGAGTGCAATCTTGGAGGATATATGTGTGTATCAGCTTTGTTACAAGAAGACAAACTAGCTTCTTTTTTGTTCCTTACTAGCTAGTCAATCCTCCAAGAGTCCAACCCTGTGCATGGCCTTGGTCCTCCCCTTATAGATGGGAGCGCCACAATGGAAACACATATGCGACGGATGCACCGGGCGCGCTCCATGCGGCTTGTTAAAGGGTCGTCGTGGGGGTCCATGGAAGGCAGTTGAGGGTGATTTCTTGGAGACGTGCCATCGCCTTACCTCCTACTATTCATCGGACCCTGCTGACGAGGGGCAATAAGTAGGTGTAGCTGTTGGGGAATGCAGTAATTTCAAAAATTTCTTACGCACACGCAAGATCATGGTGATGCATAGCAACGAGAGGGGAGAGTATTGTCTACGTACTCTCGTAGACCGTAAGCGGAAGCGTTATGAGAACGCGGTTGATGTAGTCATACGTCTTCACGGTCCGACCGATCTAAGTACCGAACGCACGACACCTCCGAGTTCAGCACACGTTCAGTTCGGTGACGTCCCACGAACTCCGATCCAGCAGAGCTTCGAGGGAGAGTTCCATCAGCACGACGGCGTGATGGCGGTGATGATGATGCCACCGACGCAGGGCTTCGCCTAAGTACCGCTACGATATGACCGAGGTGGATTATGGTGGAGGGGGCACTGCACACGGCTAAAAGATCAACTGGTCAACTTGTGTGTCTTGGGATGCTCCCATGCCCCCGTATATAAAGGAGCAAGGGGGGAGGCCGGCCGGCCTTTGCAGGGCGCGCCAGGAGGAGGAGTCCTCCTCCTAGTAGGAGTAGAACTCCCCTTTCCTACTCCTACTAGGAGGGGGAAAGGAAGGAGGAGAGGGAGGAAAGGAGGAAAGGGGGGCCGGCCCCCTAGTCCAATTCGGTTTGGGCTAGGGGGGCCGCGTGCCCTGCCTTGTCCTGCCTCCTCTCTTCCACCACTTGTCCCATGAGACCCAATACTTCTTCCCTCGTATTCCCGAAACTCCCCAGTACTCCGAAAAATATCTGAATCACTCAGAACCTTTCTGATGTCCGAATATAGTCGTCCAATATATCGATCTTTACGTCTCGACCATTTCGAGACTCCTCGTCATGTCCCCGATCTCATCCGGGACTCAGAACTACCTTTGGTACATCAAAACACATAAACTCATAATACCGATCGTCACCGAACTTTAAGCGTGCGGACCCTACGAGTTCGAGAACTATGTAGACATGATCGAGACTCGTCTCCAGTCAATAACCAATAGCGGAACCTGGATGCTCATATTGGTTCCTACATATTCTACGAAGATCTTTATCGGTCAAACCATATAACAACATACGTTGTTCCCTTTGTCATCGGTATGTTACTTGCCGGAGATTCGATCGTTGGTATCCTCATACCTAGTTCAATCTCGTTACCGGCAAGTATCTTTACTCGTTCTGTAATACATCATCCCGCAACTAACTCATTAGTCACAATGCTTGCAAGGCTTATAGTGATGTGCATTATCGAGAGGGCCCAGAGATACCTCTTCGACAATCGGAGTGACAAATCCTAATCTCGATCTATGCCAACTCAACAAGTACCATCGGAGACACCTGTAGAGCACCTTTATAATCATCCAGTTACGTTGTGACGTTTGGTAGCACACAAAGTGTTCCTCCGGTATTCGGAAGTTGCATAATCTCATAGTTAGAGGAACATGAATAAGTCATGAAGAAAGCAGTAGCAATAAACTAAACGATCATCGTGCTAAGCTAATGGAATGGGTCAAGTCAATCACATCATTCTCTAATGATGTGATCCCGTTAATCAAATGAAAACTCATGTCTATAGCTAGGAAACTTAACCATCTTTGATTCAACGAGCTAGCCAAGTAGAGGCAAACTAGTGACACTCTGTTTGTCTTTGTATTCACACATGTACTAAGTTTCCGATTAATACAAATTTAGCATGAATAATAAACATTTATCATGATATAAGGAAATATAAATAACAACTTTATTATTGCCTCTAGGGCATATTTCCTTCAGTCTCCCACCTGCACTAGAGTCAATAATCTAGTTCACATCGTCATGTGATTTAACACCAATAGTTCACATCTTTATGTGATTAGTTCACATCTCCATGTGACTAACACCCAAAGGGTTTACTAGAGTCAATGATCTAGTTCACATGGTTATGTGATTAACACCCAAAGAGTGATCATGTTTTGCTTGTGAGAGAAGTTTAGTCTACGGGTCTGCAACATTCAGATCCGTATGTATTTCGCAAATTTCTATGTCTACAATGCTCTGCATGTAGCTATACTAGCTAATTGCTCCCACTTTCAATATGTATCCAGATCGAGACTTAGAGTCATCTAGATTGATGTAAAAAGCTTGCATCGACGTAACTCTTTACGACTAACTCTTTTTATCACCTCCATAACCGAGAAATATTTCCTTAGTCCTCTAAGGATAATTTTGACCGTTGTCCAGTGATCTACTCCTAGATCACTATTGTACTCCCTTGCCAGAATCATGCTAAGGTATACAATAGGACTGGTAAACAGCATAGCATACTTTATAGAACCTATGACTGAGGCATAGGGAATGACTTTTCATTCTCTTTCTTTTTTCTGATATGGTCGGGTTTTGAGTCTTTACTCAACTTCACACCTTACAACACAGGCAAGAACTCCTTCTTTGACCGTTCCATTTTGAACTACTTCAAAATCTTGTCAAGGTATGTACTCATTGAAAAAACTTATCAAGCATCTTGATCTATCTCTATAGATCTTGATGCTCAATGTGTAAGCAGCTTCATCGAAGTCTTTCTTTGAAAAACTCTTTTCGACACTCCTTTATGCTTTCCAGAAAATTCTACATTATTTCTGATCAACAATATGTCATTCACATATACTTATCAGAAATGATGTAGTGCTCCCACTCTTTTTCTTGTAAATACAGGCTTCATCGCAAGTCTGTATAAAACCATATGCTTTGATCAACTCATCAAAGCGTATATTCCAACTCCGAGATGCTTGCACCAGTCCATAGATGGATCGCTGGAGCTTGCACATTTTGTTAGCACCTTTAGGATTGACAAACCTTCTGGTTGCATCATATACAACTCTTCTTTAAGAAATCCATTAAGGAATGTAGTTTTTGACATCCATTTGCCAGATTTCATAAAATGTGGCAATTTGCTAACATGATTTGGACAGACTTAAGCATCGCTACAAGTGAGAAAATCTCATCGTAGTCAACACCTTGAACTTTGTCAAAAACCTTTTTCGACAAGTCTAGCTTTGTAGATAGTAACATTACTATCAGCGTCCGTCTTCCTCTTGAAGATCCATTTATTCTCAATGACTCACCGATCATCGGGAAAGTCAAGCAAAGTCCATCTTTGTTCTCATACATGGATCCCATCTCAGATTTCTCAAGCCATTTCGCGGAATTTGGGCTCATCATCGCTTCCTCATAGTTCGTAGGTTCGTAATGGTATAGTAACATGACTTCCAGAAAGGATTACCGTACCACTCTGGTGCGGACCATACTTTGGTTATCCTACGAGGTTCGGTAGTAACTTGATCTGACATTTCATGATCATCA